CCTTTGATGAAAGAACTAGCCAATGTAAAATTGTATCAAACTTGATTCTGCGAAGTTAATTGGTACCATCGGATTCCTCTTAGGGCCCAAGTAGGGACCGATGACATTAATTATTCAGCCTTATAGATTTCAAGTTACAAATGCAAACTAGAAGAAATTCATCAAAAAGGGAAAAATTATCTCTCATTTTTCAACAAATTGAGTACGTTGTTACAATTATTCATGATCTTAAAATGGGCGAACATAGTTTTTCGACCCGACCCGCCGCAGATTTATGCCAGCATTTGTTGTTGGCTTTATGTAGACTTTCAATACCCATGGTACCAATTTCTTTTAACCAACGCAATTGATTGTTGGTGGCTGTATGCAGCCTTTAAGACTCTTATGATTCACTCCTCAAAATTTTGGCCACATTACTAATTCGGTAGGTTTGAATCCACAACACGCAGGCATTTAAACCCATAAATACAACAAATTTTCAGAAGCAACACTTTTAAAATTGGACCGCATCATCATTAAGATTGTTTACGTTAAATTTTTGAATCATAAAGTTCAAGACGACTTTTCTGTACTAAAACATGGATTGGTGCAGGGGATTAAAACCGAAGAAGAATTATTACACTTATCTTGTCGAATATTATACCGTTTGTAATTAGTCTTCAACTTTCCTTACTTTTCATATTTCATTTTTTTATTCTTTTATCAAATCTTCTCCATATCTTATCAGAAAAGGAAACAAAGGTTCCTGGTTATGACAAAAATGCTGTCAAATGAAATATTATATTTGTTTATACCTGCCTTACAACTTTTAGAATTTTCTATTCGTTAATATATTTGCATCTATTAAATCATAACCCAATTTTTATAGCTGTAAAAATTGCTAAGGACCCCATGGTAAGCCTGTGGATGTCCCCAGGTGGACATACATTTAAGATTAGGGGTTAATTAATGCCCAAATTTCCATTTTTGCTTTAACTACATAAGTTTAATATCTGAGCTTAACTCAGTATTGTAAAATGCTTTATTCCTGTGGTTAATAAACACCATGATCGTCTTTCTTCATTTGTTTTCCGTGGTGGGTTTGTGTGAAACCACAAGATTATATTTTCCACCTTTTATATATATACAATTTTAAACTTTGTCATTCATTGTTCAAACATTTGATAATTAGCCTTAGTATCCGAATGTAATTCGGGATTTTGAATATTTGGTTATTTTATATTAATGTTTAGCAAAATGGAATATGACCCAATTTTAAACTGGAACTGCCGAAATGCAGACCCAGCACCAGAGGAGTTAAAAAGAAAACTGCCTCTCAGAAATAAACAACGAAAACCTGTAGCAGTACAATTTTTGTCAATGGACGACAGGTTAAATAAGAACCCTCGGAATTTTCCCAGTTTGACTCAAAGATTGGAACTGCAGAAGTGCAGAGAAGCCAAATTGGATACGGAAAATCCAAAATTTGTAACGAGTTTAAAGTACTCATTAAAGCAAAATTATAACAGATGGAAACTGCCATCGTTTATTGAAGTCGTCAATTCAACGACAATGGAAAAGGCGATGATGCCTGTCGAGTTCATAACCCAGCAAGAAGTGGTTATAAAGAACGAAACCAACTTCTGGAAATTAAAGAAGAGAGAGGAAGATGGCTACATCCTCAAGGCAGGAGGAACGCAGGTCACCATCCCGTTTGAGGGAATAACTGCCTTCCCGAACTATGCAAAACCCAAAAAGGAACAAGACGATATTCAAGAGCTTACGGACGGGATGAGCAGACTGCGAATCAAGAACAAAATCAAAAAAAGAACATCGTTAAGTTGCAACAAAAACTCGAGGCTTCACAGAGGAAGATAGCGATCCTCAGATCATACAACGTGGAGCTAGAAGCCGGAAGCAAGCTCTAGATGAAACCTAACCTATCTACATAACTTCATTTATAACTATATTATTTAATCATTAAAGTGTATAAATTTTCACCATGGTAACTGTAAGAATCGAACAGCTTAATTTTCTAAAAAAAGGGGTGAGTTGTAGTATTGAAAAATACGACACAGTCAAAAGACCATTGTCTTAATTGTTTGTTTAACGACACAATTCTAATTTGGAGCGTGCCATTTAAATTAAAGCCTCTTTTCACTAAACCAGATATTGACTGATTTACTCTTATTAGGACTATAAAATCTTGTTTTGAAAATCCACTCCTTTTTAAATACTTGTCCAATTTTGCTTATTTTTTCATGCTCACTATTTTAAAAGGGCGGCGATTATTAACACGTCCATTTTAACTGTAACTTGAAACAAAATGGATAAATATTTAGCAGTCTTGCCGGCTGCACTGAAATTCTCCTTGCTTTGATTAAGCAGAGATGCACCTGCAATATGATGCATGAGAGAGAGTAATATGAATTTTTAATCAGACAAACTGAAGGCTGCGGTTAAAATCAAAGAGGACTAATAAGTTAAAGATATTTGATTTGAAAAAATCAAATAAAAACTAGTTGAAAATTCCCTTATAAGAAAGGGAGAACAAAGGAGCAGGTGAAACCTGAATAATTCAAGATTGAATCGGTTTATGCTTATAATAAACAAAAGTGAATTATGATCGTCATGCAATGTTTTTAAAAAAAAATGACTGAAGAGTTGGATTGCTTAGATTGAGAGTCGATCAACGTAGGGAATACTCCTATATAGGTCTTACATATTACTGCAATCTAATTGCGATCTTACATATTAATGATTAAATGAATATGCACTTTTTGAAATCAATTCAAATTCATCTGCTATAAGTTTGGTCTCTTCAATAGCAAAAGTGAAAATCTTGTGAAAAAATGAGATCGACTCCTAGTTTCGAAAGGGTTTCCAAATTAAAACTTTGCCTATTGATCCAGTTTTCTCACTTTGAGTTGATTTCTTCAAAAATTTTCAATCATAAATTGTTCTTGAAATTTGAAGAGCTTCAAGGCTAGATATTTTTTAATACTCAAAATACGAAGTTTTTTGTCTTTCCTTGCGTTCATCGATGATAACATTGCCTAGAACAATTAAATGCATCCTTTGCGATTAGCAAGGGAACTGCAGCCGTGTACTAGAATTTTTCTCGTACGTAGTTCTTAGAACTGATCTGTTTCTTAAACAGCATAGCAAATTCAAGTTTCGTATTTTGCTCGTTTGGAGTAGTTTTAATGCGCATGCTTGGGACAATAAATATTCGAGTCAGTTCTTTGCAAATAGAATATTCGTTTATTGACTCAGAGTTTTCGTCTGAAATTCGGTCGCCTTAGCTTCCGCGTTTTTTTGCAAATGATTTTTCAGTATGAGCTGGTTTGAAAGTTGATTTGGTTTTGTTCATGCGTAGATTTGGTTTTGTTTTGGTTTTGTTCATTGTTTTTGTTGAGCCTTTATTAAGAGTAATAAACGTAGTAAAGACTCTTATATAGGTCTTGCTGATTGTTTTCAGGAAAAAGTCTTAAAATATTGATGCACCTTAGTATATTTGCACTTTTTGAGTTCAGTTGAAATTCATCTGCTGAAAGTGACGTAAATAGTTCTCTCCAAATACGAACGTGGAAATGGCGCGAAAAAATATGAACGATTTCTTGTTTCGAAAGTGGAATTTAAGTTTTCCCAGCGGAATAAAAACTTTACCTATTGATCCAGTTTTCTTAAGTTGGGTTAATGTTATCAAAAAGAGCCAATCATAAATTGTTCTAGAAATTCAAAGAGCTTAAAGGGCATCGTTTTTTTCTTTGAATTTCGAAAGTTGAGATTTTTTTAAGAAAGTCTTTTTTTATGTTTACTTGCGTTCATGGCTCTTTTCCAATCTTTTCCGATTGGCTATGGTTTAGACATATGGCGAAGGCTTAAGTAGGTCTTCAGGGTTTTTTTTCGTTTTTTCCAACCTAAGTCGCAAATATTGTTGCGACGCAAATTTTGTTGCGACAGAATGTGTTCATTTTGATCAAGAACCAGCTATTAAGTACAGCCAATTCTAAGGATATTAACACAGACTATTATAGTACAATTAGCACTTAAGCTTCCCGGTATCATGGATCTGTAGCGTAGAGGTAGGGAAGGAGACTCGCAACAAAATAAAAGTGTTCGAACCTGGGCACGGTCAGATGTTTTTAATGAACTTTTTCGTCTACTAGTTAAAATGCGTTCGCTTTATAAATTGAGGCATGTTATTTGGTAAATTTCTTTTCTTTTTCAAAGTGACTGCTAATGCGTCATAATTGTCTTGCTTCACTTAGCAATTATGTAGACTCATAATTGGAGTGCGTCACTTAACAAATTTTCTAGACTCAAAGTTTTATTCAGTTTTTCCCAGTAGCGTTATCGGTCATGTTTTTGCGTGTGTACGCGAAGTGCAACTTTGCCTCTGTGTATGAAGGTTTCAAAAGATCAGTGTCTCTAAGAAACACAATATATTTTTTGAATTTTTCTTTCTTTTTTTTAATTGGTGAGCAATCATACGCTTTTTGAAGCAGATAATTGAATTCATAACTTTTTGCGCCTTTTTGAAACTTTTATCGAATAATTTTTTGTAAACATCTGCCTATTTGATAGCTGTTTCATTGCTTTACAAAAGTTTTTGATAGATTTTGACTCAAAATTTGGAAAAGAATGTATTCTTTAGCAATGTAATTTTCAGGTGTTTTTAGCTATTTTTTGAGTGCAGTGTTTTCCGTTAGTACTATTTTCAACTTTTTGAAGTTATATTCTTCGACATACTAATTCTGCATAAAATGATCGGATTTTTTTTTAAAATGACTTTTCCATTCATATTGTTTTGTTCCAAGTCTTGCTAATATTCCTCTCGTTTTCGAGAATCTTTCTCTGTGAAAGATTTTTTTATTGCGTCTTAACTTCGAAAATTTTTGTTAGTGCGAACGATTGTGGAATCTTTTTTTTTGTTAATTATATGAAGCAATGTATTTTGTCTTGTGTTACTCTCTTGCTTCTTTTTTCTCGTGTTTTTAATTCTAATTTTTGTTTAGGTCGTCTGAAAAAGTTCAAGTTTTCAAGCAGTCTTTAGAAATATCTCAATCGTCCTTAAATGATTTGTTGGAAAAGACGAAAATTAGTTCTCCGTTCATAACCAGTAAGTACTGCTATGTCAACCCACCAAACTGTAACAAAGCAGCAAAGTTTGATCTCTACAAAATCTACGAAAGTTTCTGCATCGACTTGGATCATTTTCTCAAAAAAGACTCCAACTTTCACATTTTAAAAAGACATCAAGATAAATTGCCCAAAGATGTCTATTATCAGCCCGCAGTTTCAGTTATAATCGACATCGAAATAAATCAGATATGTTTTGTTTACTCGTTATGGAAAACCGATGTCAAGTTGGCTATCGATCGTGACTTGCCGGAACCAGTTTTAGAACAGCTTCAAGTCTGTTTGAAAGAAATGTGTGCTGAAGTTCTGGAACGCGTGAAGAGCTCTGGAGAAATTGACGGAGAGTCGAACGAGGTTCTGAAAAGAGGGAAACTGATCCGACAAGTTATCAAGGATCTAAATCAGGAAGGTACGTTTAAAATGTTCGCATCAGGTGACAAATTACAGATTATAAATTAAATAACCGGCATAATTTTAACCAGTATCTAATGTTTTGTTTATGTAAGGTAAGTTTATTAAGAGATTCGTTATGAAAAATTGCGAAGTTGTTTTTTTTTCTAACGGAGAACAAGGCCGACATCTCCGACGCAAGATTTTATGTGAAATCCACACAATCATGAACCACAGCTTAATTTAAGCGTTTCCAAAGGCTTAGTTAAAAAAAAACAGTTTGTGGATCGCGCTGTCCAAAAACTTGTGCTGTGCTGGCGACGAGAGTTTCAGGGTTGATGCGTTAAGCAAAATTATTTGTCGTAAATTATACCAGTTTAAGGGTAATGGTAGCCAAGTTTCATAAATATTTCATATTGTATTCGAATATTATTATATTATATTATTTTATTATTATATTATATTCGAATATTGTTTCATATCTATTATATATTTAAATGCGGGCTTCACTATCTCGCCATGTTTAAGCTTTTTCAACGTATTATTTTTGCATGTTTAAGCTGTATCGTATATTGCAATGGTTAAGAATTTTATTTCGATTTTCCAATTCGATTTTAGTGGTTATTTTATCGAGTTTAAATTAAGCAGCCCAATATCGAATTAGGGGTTGCGAATTTGACCTCCAATTTTGAATGCCCGAATCATTTTAGTTAATGAGATAAGACGATTTTTGAGATTTTTTCAGAAATTTCAAATAACAAAATAATTTTAAAAACTTGAAGTTCCCAACTCTGTAGTTGGGTGCTGTCAGATTACTCTAATGAGTTATAAATCTTGCCTCCAAATATGACTGTTCAAATTCTTGTAGTTTTCGAGATATGACGTTTTTTGTGATTTTTTTTTCAAAAAATTTTCAGAAAACTTATATTAAATTTTTTTTTTGCAAAATCTGAAATTTCCAACCCTGTAGTCGGGTCCTGTCAGAGTATTCTCAAAGATTATGAATCTTGCCTCCAAATATGACTGCTCAATTCTTTGTAGTTTTCGAAATATGACGTTTTTTGTGTTTTTTTCAAAAAATTTTCAGAAAACTTATATTAATTTTTTTTCTTAAAATCTGAAATTCCCAACCCTATAGTTGGGTCCTGTCAGAGTAATCTCAAAGATTGCGAATCTTGCCTCCAAATATGACTGCTCAATTCTTTGTAGTTTTCGAGATATGACGTTTTTTGTGATGTTATCAAAAATTTTCAGAAAGATTAAATTATTATAAGTTTTTAAAAATCTGAAATTCGCAACCCTGTAGTTGGATCCTGTCAGAGTACTCTCAAAGATTGTGAATCTTGCCTCCAAAAATGACTGCTCAATTCTTTGTAGTTTGCGAGATATGACGTTTTTTGTGATTTTTTCAAAAATTTTCAGAAATTAATTATTAATTAATTAATTGAGTTTAAATTAATTATTTTTTCAAATTTTGAAATTTCCAACGCCGCTATAGTTCGGTGTTGTCAGGGTACTCTAAAGAGTTGCAAATCGTGCCACATGCGACTGCGAAACGCGACTGCTCAAATGCTTTTAGTTTCCGAGATATGACGTTTTTTGATTTTTTCAAAATTTCTCGAAGAACATATCTGCAAAGAAATTCAAAAAATTTGAAACTACTAATTTGATGAAGATACAACCTTATTGTCAGCGTACACCCAGGCGTCTCAAATTTTGCCTCTTAATATGAATGCTCAAATCCTTTTAGTTTCCGAGATCAGACTTAGGTTTGGATTCCTAACCCTATATTAGGGTGCTCTCAGTGGTTGCTAATCTGGCCTCCAAATTTCTCCAGAGGCCCATTAAGTTTTCGAGATGACGTTTTTAAAATGAGAATTAAAAAAAGGTTCAAAATTACCAACCCTGTAATTGGGTGCAGTCAGAGTACACTAAAAGTTTGCAGATGTTGTTTCCAGTATATGCGGTTTTTCGTGAGCTGTCGAAAAATTTCGAAGCACCGAAGGTGCGTTAAACGCTAGTTATATTCGAAATAAAGGTATCTTGTTACACTGGATAAATAAATATTGTGTCTAATTGCAGAGGACGAGGACATCTTCTTGTCAATTGAGGCCGACACGAATGTGGACAGTATGATGAAGGGACATTTGGGGAGCAAGAAGAGAAGAAGAGTGTACAAGAAGTCGTTTCCTGTTAATTTTACTTCCAATTCCATCCCAACTGACTCGAAACAGTGTTACTTTTACTCTATCAATATGAAGATGTACAAGAAAGCATCACATATTACAGGTTGGTGTTCTAGAATGCGTTGCAATTAAAGGCATAGTCCAAGCTATTTCAAATGATAACCAACTACGAATTGATGACAAGAATGAAGTTCCTTTGAACGATTTTTCAGTTTTAGGGCTCATTTTAAGGTCCCAATAACTTGAATTATGATTAAGCGTGTAAATAAATTCAATTCGACTACTGCGCTTGAGTTTCTCATTTTGTCATTGTTAAGATTCAGGTCATGGAGTTTCTGGGATCCTTTGATTTTAAAAAATGCTCACAAACAAAAGAGAAATTTTGATGCCGGAAAATGTAGCTCATAACTTAGATAGCTTAATTGAGAGATTGCCATTGGATAAATGATTACTGTCTACAGAAATGAAAACCGGAGGTCAATTGGGGGACAAACTTGAGATATAAGTGAGGTTTTTGTTCTCTAGGAGCGGCTGCGAACTCCGATCTAATTCTGGACACTGACCAATGCTACGGCATCATCGCTTCAGTGCCCCTGCCCCCCTCGCTGCCCCAATTCACAGTGCACACGCGGGAGGGGGAGGAGCATGTGGGGATCCAGCTACGCCAGTGCATCCTGATGTCAGATGATGAGATAGACTCGGTGGAGATGTTCCACCAATACGTGTTTAACGAAGTGCTGCGAGTGGAGAAAGATAACCTCGTGTTTGACCCGAACGAATCGCCTCTCCAGTATTACATAGGTGCCTGTACTATTTTAATAGCCGCTATTGTTCCGACTAAGTTAAAAGAAGTTAAGACCATTTATCCACAAGGGAAAGAACCAGCATACGAGCTGTTCAGCTCATCACGGAGAAGCGCTGTTGTACTTAAAACCGTGAAGCAACAAGCAGTGATCATAATGGGACTCGAACATCCTACCTTTCGATTGAGAGGCGGAGGCGTAACCACTTAACCTCCGGACGGAACTGGGCTTTTTCGCGAATCTTTTGCCCATGAGATTTTAGATAGCTTGAATAAATCAGTATCATATCTAAAAGCATGTTTAAAAGTCAATGAACGAAGTGACGAAAATTATATAGTTCGTGACGTTTTTTTTTCCTCAAGAAATTCAATGAAAAAATTTTAAAATGTGATCACACTCTAAATTGGGTTTTTCTGGGTTTGACTTTTCATTCGGAGGTTGCAAAAGTTCAATTTCAATTCTTTTGCTAAAATGAAGGCAAACTACGCATGAATAACGAAGTTGAACACGGCGTGCAAAAATGTGAATTAATCTAGTTACCAAAGTTGATTTAAATACCTATCCAAAAGAGTCAATCATAAAGAATCGTGTCTGGAAGTTCGAAGAGCTTTTAGGTGATATATATATATTTTTAAAAAGAATCATTTTGTTCTGTCGTCTCAAATTCAATGAGATTTTGCCAGCTGTCTGTTGGCTACTTTTTACCGACAATTTGACGGAAAGGGAACGCCCTAATCATTTGGTCTCGGTCTATGCAAAAGTTTTCCTGAAAATTTAGGTGAATGCTGTCCAAAATGAACATTGAAAACGGGCTTTTCAGAGAGTAAAAACACATGAACTTGCGAATTTTTTTTGTCGACTAGTGTATAGGTCTTAATTCTTTTCCAGGAAAAACACTAGAAATCTGATTTCATTTGAAGTTCAGTTCGCCAAGGTCGCGAAAAAACCGGTTTGAATTTTTGACTTTTCGTCTAATTTTGCGCGAGGAAAGCGAGTGAGCAGGCTCATTTATGCTTAATTTAAGCTGTTTACAATAACTTATTTTTGCTTAATTCTAGTTTTACTCGAGTACATTTAATTTTTGGAGCTTTTCAACGCCACTTTGGGAATCAAAAAATTCAGGGAATGTCTGCAAAAATTGTTGTCTGCAAAAAAATTTGCTTTTTAAAAATATTTTCCCAGTCATTTTTCTACAAAAATTGTTCCCCAGTGTCGAGAAAAACCGGTGAGAAATTTTTGTCTTTTATGATTTTGAACGAGGAAAGCGAGCGAGCAGGCTTATTTTTGCTTAATTTAAGCCGTTTACAATACACTTATTCATGCTTAATTTTAATTTTACTCGATTACAATTAGTTTTTTTTGGAGCTTTGTAAGGCCATTTTGGGAGTCAAAAAGTTCGGAAAAATTCTGCAAAAAAAAACGTTTTTTTTTCAAATATGCTTCAAGCCTTTCCAGTCGTGAGTCGAAGAACATAAAAAAGTTTCCAGTCTTTGAGTCGAGAAAAATCGGTTTGATTTTTTTTTTATTTTCCAGTCATTTTTTCTACAAAAACTGTTGTACAGTTTGCCTATTTTAATATGACTGTCGAATATGCTTATGTTTGAGTTTTTCGTTCAGACCTTTTATCACATCACGCATAAAAAAACTTTAAGTTCATTTTTTTTGTTTTTTAGGGCTATAGTCGGATCATTCTGCATTACTTGTACAGCAACCGGCTATCCTTCTTTGAAATTGGATTTTGCTTTTATGAAATCCGAGTGGAACAAAAAAATTTTCCTGTTGATCCAGTTTTCTCTAAATGTAATAAGTTTACGAAAAGTGCCAATCATAAACAGCATTTAAAATTCAAAGAGCTTAAACGTGATCTATTTTTTAACTCAGTGGAATTAATTATTTAATCCTTTAGTTCTTGCATCTGAAGACGAAGACGGAATCTTCATCGATTTCCAACTGATGAGTGACATAATAGCGGATTCGCAAATTCACTTCAAACAACAACACCCCTTTAAGTTCAACGCCAACATATTCAACAATGCAGTTGTCTCTCCAACTTACCGCAAGCAAGAACGACCTCACAGAATGTACGTGGTGAAAATAAGGAACGACTTGAACCCTCTGTCCGAGTTTCCGAGGAGTGCTTTGTACGAGACGTACTCGGATTATTACCGCATAAAGTACGGAGCAGATATCACTAATCTGAAACAGCCTCTCTTAGAGGTAGAATACACGAATCTGAGGCTGAATTTACTGACTAATAGATTTGGACGGATGGCTAATGGTAAGAATGGCAAAATGGCCAACAATCTGAGCGCCAGAGGTGACGAAGACAGAGGACAGCAGAAGTTAATTGAACCACTGGATGCAAATGACAAGCAGTTTTTTGTACCTGAGCTTTGCATGGTTTGGCCGATAGGAGCTGCACTTTGGAAGAAAACTAGTAAGTTGTTAAAACTGTTTTTTTTTCAAGTTTTCAAAGCCTGGGATTAAATAGCTGTTTTTGGAAAAAAAATCATAGCCTTCAAAAGAAGCCAGAGATTCAGTTTATTTAACTTGTGGACTTTTTGGCAATATCGAATGAGTAATCAGATTTCGAATAATCTTATACCACAAGTTTCCAAACCTTCGTCATCCGCATTTTGTGCTTTTTTAGCATTTTCTGCTATAATTTGTAGTCCTTATTTTCATTGTTGTCCTGACTGCTAAAAAGAATCATAGGTATTAACGCGATGAGACTAGCAGAATGTGTTCGTAGTGCCTTGATTTTTCAGGGAAAGAGTTGATGTCTGAAATCAGTGTTCCTGAAATAACGGCTCTGTTTTTACTTCTTTGAGATTATCTTTTCATATCATTCACTGATGGATATTTTGACCTGAAACTTTCTTTCTGGGAAAAAATGTTCTTTTTTTTGTTTTTTGATAATCCCTCTGTTCCATTTGGCTACTACACTTTTTTCCCCGCGAACAACTTTTTTCATGATTTCGCAGATGTTTCATCTTGCTACACATTAAATTCAAAATCAATCAACCACCCAGCGCCTCTGGGTTAGAGGTAACAAACCTGCTTGAGACGACAAAGGCTTGTGGCTCGAATCCGGTCAGGATCTGTTTTTTTTTAACTAGACTTTTTCTGACTATCTTCTCTCTGTTTAATTTTGTCTGCTTAGTTCTCGTAGCATGTGCTCTTTTTGAACATTCAGCTTTCTTTTAACTAACTGAATATCATTTGTAAAGCCCCATTGGTGGAGGCAATTGAGTTTCAATGTTTTAAGCGAGTTTTTAGTTTAATTTTTCTTTTTTGATGAAATTTTAACAAGGTATATAAGTAAAAAATGATAATTTTATTTCTGAATTTTCTTGCTCAATCTTTTTGCTTTGAATCATTGTATGCGAAGATTGCGCTCGCGCTTAGGAAGCTTTTTAATTTCAGAACATATAATTGTTCTTGTAAACAACTTGGCCAACAAAATCACTGAATCAGTTTCTTAAATCTGCTTTTGTCAACCAACAGCCACATTTTGAGCATGTGTGCATTTCAAATACTGGATGGATCTGTTTACTCTTCATAGTTTCCGCGAACTTAGTGTGACTGTGCGACTTTTTTCTCCTAACCTAAGTCGCAAATATTGGTGGCACCTTTGCGACTTTTTGATAGTTTTGACATTCGAGTTGTAATAAGTGGTTTGAATGTGCTTTGACATTTGATTGGTAATAATTAACACAGTTGATGCTTTTTCTATCCATCTAATTAAATGAAAAAAGCTATTTGTTCCAAAGAACAGTACAAAAATTAAAACTCGTTTTCAGAAATTTTCAAACACAATATCGCAATAGTTTATGCATAATTTTATGCTTTCCAATTTATAACATGCAAAGTAGGCAGTGTAAATACGTTCAGTTTGTTATATTCCAAATAATTACATGCAATATTTTGTCTGTTTGTATTTGGTGCCTCTTTTGCTGCATCGCATGGGCAATTTATTAACATATGTAAATGCTTTATTTGTGACTATTGTGAGCGAAATGTGAAGAGACCGTGGCGTAGATGCAAGGACAGGAGACTCTAGATCTGGTCGTAGGAGCGATATTGCCACAGCAAAAATTTTATTTTTCAAGGCTTATTTTAACTTTTTTTGTAATTCATTTTCTCGCTCAGCTTCTCCTCGGTGTCAATAATTGCTATATGTTGATTTCAAATGTGTTAACTCTGATTTGTTTTAAGAGTGTTTTTCTTTTAAGTTTTAATGTTTTAAAAACCTAATGAAATTTTTTTGGCTCAACTTATGGATACTCAAAAATTATCGACTTTAATACCGCTTTGTTTCTATGAAAATGTAACTTTTTTTATTTGTCATATATTTTTTGTGAAAGTGAACTCTGTTCAAGACAAATTTATCAAAACGTTAGTGAACCTAAGCAACTTCGAGACTCCATTCCACTTAGCATAGAGGTATTTCGGTTGCCTTTCTATCCTAAGGTCTGGAGTTCGATTCCCTTGGTTTCAAGTGGGTTATATTGCAAGATTTCAAATTTTAAAACTTCATTGCCCAAAATTTTTTACGACAGCAATTTTTTATGGGCATTTTTTGGCTTAGGCGTCTACCCATTTGTTGACTCAAGCGGACGCTACCAACTTTTTTTGGCTAAGTGGCTGCTCGGTAATCGCTAGTGGTTGTGTTTTCGACTTTTTCTTGAAATTTTCCCTCAATTTTCGGTTTTGTTTTTCAGCCTCATTTTCTATTCGCTAGCGTCCAATGTTGAGCTTGTGTTGTATCGCATCTGTGTCACAACTTCTTTTTTTTTGACTCAGCGGATTTTGTGTCAATTTCTGTCTGATAGTTTGTCATGAATTGCAAGTGGTGCGAAGCTTTGCTTCACCTCTGTGCACATTTTCTCTCTAATTCGCGGCTCTTACACTTGGATTATGTATGTATTATGTATGTATTATTGCATGTATTACACTGGTTTCAAAATTTTATTTTTCAGAATTTTAATTTTGTTCACCACTTGACAACCAAAGTGTATTACATTTTGACAGCGTTAAATTAGTTTGATATAGTTGAAATTCAAATGTGGGGCAAAGTAATTGTCAGCTGTCTGATAAAATGTGTTTTTTTTTTCAGTCTGCTTACCATCTGTGCTTTACCGTCTGGAACAGCTGCTGGTTAGTCACAGTGTTCAGATGCAGATAAATCTTGAAGCTCTCCAGGTTGACGTGAAGAAACATTGGGATGAAATGAACCGATGTGAACAAAGTGTTATTTACAACTCAGAATTCGAAAAGAAATATTTTGAGCAACAAGTTCATAATTTCGTAAGTATGATCAATGTGTGTGCAGTTCAAACAGATACACTAGTGAACAAAGTTAAACGCAAATTGAGGCTTTCACTCTCTAAAAGCATAATTTTAAGGACCGTTTTGGACTGTATTTACTTGGAGTTTTAAAAACATTTCCACACAAACCGACAGCAAATGATCTGAATTACCCTCTCTGAAAATTTCAAATTTAAAGCACGTACCATTTTTTCCTGGTCTGAAAATGCCAGTTTTTTATCGTCTTCGCTGGGTTTTGCATCACAGTGAACTCCTCGAATAAGCGGAGTAAAAAAGTTTGTTCATGCTGCGTGAAACATTCTCAGCGAGAAAATTGAATTTATCTGTGTGAAAATTTTACTTAACTCGGCTGTTACTTTCTTTTCACGCGGATTGAAAATCTTATTGCGGATGATGAAAACTGGATTTTTCAGACCCGGAAAAAATGGTGAGTGCATCAAATTAAAATTTGAGACTTTCGGAGAGGGTAATCCAGATCATTTGCTGTCGTTCGATGTAGAAATTTTTTTTAAACTCCAAGTAAATACAGTCCAAAATGGTCCTTAAAATTATGCTTTTAGAGAGTGAAAGCCTAAATTTGAATTAAATTTTGTCCACTAGTGTATGAAATTGTCAAATAAGCTGAAATTGAGAAAAGAATTTTCAGGAAGAAGTGCAAGGCTGTTTTACCTAAAAAAATTTTATCCAAAAATTCTGCTCTTATTCATGCATGTAGTTAGTAATTGGCAATTTTCGTCTAAAACTGGATGGAAAAAATCATAAAAAAAGGAAATTAATTTTCATAGAAATTTCAGAAGTTTCTTCACTCAACTCAGTTTAGCTGACCAAAATCTACTATTTGACAGCCATTATTTTTGAATTCCATTCAATGAAAGTGTAAAAAAATTGCTAAATCTCGTGTGAACACGCCGTTTTTATCGTGCGGTAATTTTGAAGCGCGAATAGAGAGAAGGGCGGCTTTTAGTTAGATAAGCATGACATGATTTGTACCAATTTCGATTAATTCGATTCATTTTAGGAAGGATTCGACGTGTCTCTATCTTCCACGTCTATTCCTACATCTCTTCAAGTTCTGCAGTGTCTAACTATGGCTTCTTGCACAGACGTGGCCAACTTAGAGAGAGTGGAGACCATCGGCGACTCTTTTCTCAAATATGTCACTTCAGTAGCTCTGTCTCTGTCCCATCCAGATGCTTCGAGTGGAGAATTGTCAGTTAGAAGATGCAGATTTATCAGCAATGAGAATTTGTTCAAATTAGGTGTAGAGAAAAATTTTCCGGGATGTATATACTATCAGACATTTGATCCAACTTCTAATTGGTTGCCTCCATCTTACGTTTATCAGCCTTCTGATGATGCTGCAGAAGCCACCGGTTCACAAGTGAAGGTAAACTTTTCTGAAGATTGGAAGGCGGTTGAAACTGGAGTCTGGTCCAGTGAGTTGGTAAATACGGAAGAAGGTGCGGCTGCTAATCCTGAAGATGTAAATGCTGCTACTTATAGAATTTGGGCTCAAACAGCCGCCGAGCAGCAAACAGGTGTTGACTGGGGGACCCTAGAACCATCGGAGTCTTCGTCGCCCAATGGGACCAACAATCTGATCCCTCTTAACGGCACCGGGGCTAATGGTATGAATGGAACCAATGGTATTAATGGACGTAACGGAAGCTTTTCGCCCAGAAATGGAAGTCTACCGTCGTCGCCTTTTGGTGTTTTTTCGCTCTCAGATGATTTACTTGGCGGCCTGGAGCAGTCCGAAATCGACCAAGAAATTGAAGATTTGTTTCTCGATCCAGAAGGGGAAATTTTGTCACCTCCAGATTTCAGTAGCTCTCGTGGTCCCACGGGATATTCTACAAAACCTAAAGTACGATCCAAAAACACAAATGCAATTGATAAATCGAATCTGCCATCGCCCTACTTGGAAAATTGCTTGTCAGACAAAAGCATTGCCGATGTCATTGAAGCGCTGATTGGCTGTTACTTTGTCCAATCAGGGTCAGCAACTGCTTTCAAATTGATGAGTTGGCTTAATTTACCGGTGATTGAAAAAGAAGCATCGTTTCAAAGATTCATGAGTAAGTCTGCTTGGAAACGACTTCGAATACTTTACAAATGATCAGCTCTCACCGCCACGTAATTATGCTCGGCGATTCAAATTTTGTGTTTTGATTTTTTACTGTGTTATTTAATTAGAACCAGTACTAAGGGTTTGTTCAGTAAGTAGTTCGAACTAATTGACTTATTGCTTTTCGCGCCGTGAAAAAACTAGCGCAATTTTTCAGGCACTGGAGGAGCGAACGCCAAACCTGAAAATTCCTAGTATATTTCCATTACACACTTCGCCAAACCGTCTTATCTTAGTTGTTCTTAAAAACCGACTATTCTATTTTATCGCTCAGAAATTAATGTTTGTGTTTAGGTCCGTTGAACGACTTTGAACGAACTATATTCGGCTCGAGAGATCTTGCAGATGTAGAAAGAATCATAAATTACACTTTCAAACACAAGCGAATCCTTCTAGAAGCTTTCACGCATCCAACAATGTCAGACCTTTACCCTTGTTTGAGAAATTACCAGCAACTCGAGTTTATGGGAGATGCAGTGTTGGATTTCATCATAACTAAAGAAGTGTTTTTTCACCCCAGCTACTTTTCATCAGGAGCTGTGACCGACATGAGAGCTGCGCTAGTCAATAACATAATTTTTGCCTCTTTAGCTGCCAATATTGGTTTGCATAAGTACCTAATACATATATCTCCACTGTTGTGCAATCACATAAATGAGTTCATCAATTACAAAACAGCAAAAAAGAAAATCGGCAAAGTTGTAGAAAATCAGCAAGATGAATTTCCGACTTCACAACTTGGTCTTTCGGACGATTTGAAGGAGTTGGAGGTCCCAAAGCCACTTGGAGATGTGTTTGAGTCACTGGCAGCTGCTATATACATAGACTCTTCCTTCGGTTAGTCGGCTTGGCATTGTTTGACTCATAAAGTGTAAATGAACAACCACGCTTACTTAAGATTTTTAGTTTCGAAGAGGGATTTTAATTTTTAGATTTCTCAGCGGATGATTTTTAGTTTTGAAGAGGGATTTTAATTTTTAAATTTCTCAGCGGATGATTTTTAGTTTTGAAGAGGGATTTTAATTTTTAGATTTCTCAGCGGATGATTTTTAGTTTTGAAGAGGGATTTGAATTTTTTGATTTCTCAGCGGATGAAAAAATTGTCTATTGACTCAGTTTTGCCATGAAAGATTTTTGAATGGTTAAGAGCTTTAACGCGATGTATTTTTTTCTTCAAAACTGGGAAGCTGGAAAATGAAGAATTTTTTTTAGTTTCTTTGTTCACAGACACTTTTACTTTCTGCTGACTATGTTTTTGATTTAAAAGCAAAGTAAATAACCCTGTCGGGAAAAATTGTACAATACTTTGTAATCGTATCAGGTTTTTTGTTTCCAATTGTTAGCCTGATCTACTCGCAAAATCTGTCTGGAATCAATGCTTTCTTACAATAAAAATGAAAATTTTAAGTTAGTCTACTACCCGTATATTTGTTTTCTGTTTGTAGTAATCATCCCTACTCTTGCGATAAACAAGGGTATTGCAAATTGGGTACTATATATTTTTTCCCCTGTTTTTTTTGCAAACTTGATTTTTCGACACAGGTTTGTGCCTTTTGTTGTTCTGTCGGCTTAGTTTCCGTACCACGGACTTTTGTTAAATGTTCAATATCCTTTTTAATGTTTGAATGCATTTTCTAAAGTCCTAATGGTGGAGATAATTGAGCTACAAGATTTTTTTGCAGAAATTTGGATGCATTTTTGAAAAAAGATAAATTTAACTTGGAATGTATTAGCTGCTTCAGTTAATATGAACCTATTTATTACGCATGAGATTCTTGCGCCCGTGATTAGCAAGTGTTATCAATTTGGAACATGGATATTTTCATGAAAACAATTTGTCTACCAGAATCATTGAATAATTTTCTCAAATCTGCACTTTCGCCAGCTTGACTGACGTATTTTAAGCATGAGTGTATTTTAAATACCCGCTCTATTTGAAAGTTTTTTATGTTGGTTTTTCGAGTGCGATTCTGAGACACTTCCGTTTTTTTTGGCTGAAAAGTTTCCGGCTTATACCAATTCGGCTTATTGGCCTCATATTGCGTCGTTTGACGTGCGAAACAAGAGCCTTATGCTTGTGAGTTACTGAAGGTGTTTTTATTTTTTTTTATTTTTATTGAAATTTTTGTGTGACAACAATTTTTTTTCGGCCTTCAAGGGTATCTGTTTAAGAGTTTCCGGCTTCTGCTTCGTAGTTTTGTTTCGATGCTAATTTAACGTTTAATTGTCTTATTTGGTATTTTTTTCTTAAAATGAACTTTATTCAGGCTAAATAGGGTTTCATTTTCTGTCAGCGAGTTATGCTAAGTTGCTGTGGTATCGCAAGTGGTGCGAAGCATAATGAGCTTTAAATCAGGGTGGCTTTCGATTATGGTCTTTGCCCCTCAGATTTTGTGTTTTTAGTTCTTACATTCGGACTTTAGTTCTAACCACTGTACAACGGCCGCGTAAATGAAGAAAAAGGACTTTTCTTACTATTATCCATTTTTGTATTTCAGACCTAAACGTGGTGTGGGAAGTGTTGAAACCAATCATAGGACCCCTATTGGAACTATATGCTGAGAACACCCCCGTCTCACCGATGAGGGAATTGATGGAACTGAAGCCTGGCCGAGTGCTGTTTGAGAGGATGCAAGACACCCTGGATCACAAGGTGCAAGTGCGAGTCACAGTCACTGCATTGTCTTCCTACATCGGAGTGGGAATCAATTTGAGGACGGCCAAGTGCGCGGCCGCACAACAGGCACTGAAAGACATCAAGAGCAAGGCTGGTTGAATCAGTGAGAACCGAATGGGAGTCAGTCACTTGGCTAACCAAAAACAATGAACTGATCAAGATTTTAAATCAATTAGAGCAATTAAACTGATTGAAAATCTTTCAAGAACTGTAGTCCTTACAAAGAAATTTCAATTTATATGTTTATATGCTAGGTTCTGCATTTTCTATTGATTTGAACGGCTGCATTTCTTTGTAAGTAAGGATTTTTGCATGTTTTAAATTAAAGCTATTGAAAAATTTGTTAGCACTCTTTTATGACTTTTTGTTTAGTGAGAAGGGATCTCTTTAATTCTTCCCTTCTGGTACCTAGTAACGAATTGTCGCCCCTATAAGTACTAATTCGACGGTTAAGCAATTTTGCACCTTGTAAAAAATCCCCCCCCCCCTTTGCAAAAGGGGGAATAGTGAAAGAGATCAGCCAAAAGTTGCAAATGATCATCTTTGAAATCGTTGAGACTTGATAAATCTTATTGGTTGTACTGGATTGCGTTTATAGGAACTGGCCTGTTTTCAGGTCTTAATTTCATTAATCAAAATATTCAACTAGTCGATGACCATTTCGGTGAATAGCTAAAACGTCTAACGGGAAGATTGTTATTACTGAGCTGAACTAATCGTACCAAATAAAAAATAGAGATATTCTGAAAGAAAGTGAGCTGTAAAACATTAAAGTTAGCTGAAAAACACTTAAATGTAAGTACGCTGTAAAACATTCGCCCAAGAAGCCTGTTGTCTAGTTTGAATGGAAAAGTTAAGGGCTCTAGGTGCAAGCAGTTACCGATTGTTTAAAGTTTTATTGTGTACCTTCGATGTTCGTTTAATGAACGCTGCAGAAAATTTAGATGTTGATTTTGTATTTTTGAACATCATGATATTTGTTTACATGTCATCCGGGCATTATTGATTTGAGCAAAAATTGTAATAGAAAAATTAAAAAAGTAAGTGACCTGATTAAACATTGGTTGTTCGTCAATTTCTTTTAGTCTCAAGATTAATATGTTTCATGTTTCAAAAGAATTGATTATAATGAGCTATAAATGGCTTCTGAAGTCTCTTTAATTGATTTAAAATTGGCTCTTAGTTCGAGAAAAACTGCAGAAAGCAAGATTTTATCTAATTAGTCGCCAGATGTGGACGTTTTTTGAGCAATCAAACGGCATGCCTTAGCTTTAAAACTGCAAACCATAATGTCATAAAGTGAACAAAGTTTTCTCAATTTAATAAAATTTTGTTGTTAATAAACCAAGCCACGTAGCAAGTTTTGAAAATTTGAGAATTTGGATTTTTGAAGCTAGTACACCATTGTTTAACCGAACAACAGCCACGATTTGCCGAAGCCAATCCATCTCAAAGCTTACAGTATATCGTGTCTGCTTCAGATGAGAGAGTTTGTCGAAACACATCGCTCAAAGGGTGAGTTTTTGATGGAGCTACGCGGCGGTAATTATTTGTGTTGATGGACGCAATGCTTTATCACTTATTTCCTTAGGGATTTTTCAGGAAACGTTTCTAAGTACTAATGAAAAAATAAACTCTTTGGGATCGTAATGGTTTGAACTCTTGGGGAAATGGGCGTCCGCTCCCTCGAAATCCCTCCTCAACTAAGTAGCAATAAAAGACATTTCACTTGACTGTAATCTAAGCTGTCTGGTTTTAAAGAATAGCAACAGCTTAAAATTATTTGATATTTAGATGTTGTATTGACTGCAAAGTCCTCCTTGATAGAAACAGGTATAAAGAAAAAGTTTGTGATGGTTTTGTATTCTTCAAGAAAGCTTGAGAATTTTTCAGCACTTTTCGCAAAATTGTCGTAAAATTTTTCTCCTAATTTCGAAAAACAAATTAATGGGAAGCTGTCATCTCGCCTGTGTAATTGCATATTCCTGTATTCTTCTTTTTACTGAAGCTGATTCCACGTTTTACGTCTTTCGAAAACTTTATTGGGTAATATGACAAATTTTTTCTCCAAAACGCTGCCGAATCTGAGATTACTGGTTCAATGTAACAGTTAAAGTGAGCCTTTCATTCCTCAAACCGTTGCGCCCAAATTTTGGTTTGAATATTTATGACCTTTGATAAGGCCTTAATTTCGAAATGCTAATCGTTTTTTTTTTTGAATTTGTTTGCTAGGCTCTGTTTTCCTGTTTAATTGCACTATTTTCAGAAACAGGCTTTGAAATTAAATGGGTGAATATTCCACTTTTTTCCGTTTTGTTTTGTTTTGAGACGTTCTGGAGAGACAAGCTACTCAATGTGACGGCCTTTTCCGCTTGTGTATTTTCATCTTACTTCAAGTTCGAAAATATGGCTTTCGTAAAATTCAGCGGGGATTTCCGAAATTAGGATTTTCCGCTTTCTCGGAAACTACCCTGCCAAATCTGAGTTTAAGGGTTCTTGAACCGCTACGCCCTAATTTTTGTAACAAAAAACAAATTTAGGCCTGTGAAAATGTCTACATTTTGACACTTTTCAATTTTCTGAACGGTTTTGCCAAATTTGGTATCAACGGTCAGTCCAATGAACACGTTTTGCGCGAATCTGTACTTCACTAGCGGTTCCGCCCTAATTTTTGAAGAAAGATAGTTTTTGTCTTGAAAAACCATTTTTTCGATATGGAGATCATTTTTTGGAAATGAAAGCTGCTAAACATGAGATTAAGGGTTTGAAAGATTAGAAGGCAGTAGGTTTCGATGCATCAACGGATTTGCTATAATTTTTGATAAAAATTTATTTTAACTAAAAGAAAAAAGACACATTTTGATCATTTTTGGTAATCTTTAACTCTTCTCGATTTATGCGGGATTGAAGTATCAATTCAGAAAACAAAGAATTGAACACTTTTCATAACAGGTTACGTCCGTACTTCCTGCTTAAGTGACTACTTCTTCATTTTGAAAAAAAAATTTTTGGCTTGAAAAATAGTTCACTTTTTCAAACTTTGTACATTTTTGGCTCTTCAATTTTTGACCCTTCTCGGAAACTTCCTTGTCAAATTTAAGATTAAGCAATCAATAAACAAAAATTGGTAGAAATTTTCCGGCGTACATGAGTGGCTATATTCTTATTTTGTGCAACAAATTTTGGGTTGAAAATTGTACAATTTTTTAAGTTTCGCGTGTTTTGACTTTTTTGGAACTTCGACTTTATTCGGAAGTGATTGTATCAAATCTGAGTATATGTAATTAAAGAAAAAATGACGTGGTAAGAGTTTTTCTGTTAAAATGAATGCATTTTACTTTTTGTAGAAAAAAATTAGCAGTTTTAAAAACTACTTCTTTTCAAATTTTCTTTTGTTTTAGAAACATTTCCTTATCGCAAACTATCTTGACATATTTGAAGTCAAAAGTTGAACCGAAAACACAAACTGCTTTATTTTTCTTTGCATAAGCAGATATCTCTGGTTTTTGGTTTTTTATTCGAAAACTACAGTGCAAATTCTACAATTAAATTTTTCAATCGAAAAACTACTTTGAAAACATGCACTATGATTGAGCGGATTCTTTCACTTTTTACATTTGTTTTCATTTTCCCCAAACCGAGCACGTTAATTCTGAGATGAAAAAATCAATCGAACATAGAAGCTTCTTTTTTTCTTTTGATAAGGAATTAACCACGGAATTAGCTGGGATCGGATTTTACTACGTAGCTATTTGCCTAATAAATGTATCTTTATATAGTTTGCCCGGAGTTTTATTATCTTATAAGTTTTTCTCTACCACGTTCGAGCAAAATCTAGCAAAATGCTCAGAAAATTAGTTTTGGCCTGTTCGCGAGAACTGTTTCTGTGATTTTTTTTTTCACGAGCGGCTACTTTTTCCTCTGAGAACCAAAAGTATTTTTTTTTGAAAAAACATACCATTTTTATAACTTTGGCTGTTTTTTGGAAGTGTCGTTTCTTGGAAACTAGCCACTCAAATTCAACTATCTAAAGAACACGCTATAAACCAAAAAGCGAGTAGTGGTAACCTTTCTTGCTCAAAAAACTACATATCTTTTTTTGTTGAAAAAGTTTTGGCGTCTTTAAAGTTAAGCCCGTTTTCTGGAAATTTCTAGAAATTTTCTGGAATTTTCTCGAAGTTTACCCTCCAAAAATTAAGGTTAAGATTTGAATCGAAAATGATGTTTGTTTAACTATTCTCCGCGTGAGCGGCTTGGACCTTATTTGGTAGCTGTTTCACAAATAGATTAAAGAAAATTCCAACTTTTTTCTGTATTAACTGTGTTCAGATTGTTTGGTTTTTCGAAAGCTACCATGCGAAATCTGAAATATAGATCCTAATCGAATGAACAGTTTAAAGGCGTGCCCCCTGCTTGAAAGGGTTCTCTCAATTTTGCAAGCAGTACACTATGAACTCTGATGGATGAAAAAAAAACAATTTTTGAAGACAATTTTTCAAATTTTCTCTGCCTAAAATTTCGAAGAAACAGTTTTTGGTCTTAAACTGTTTTCATTTTTTGAAAGTGTTTGTTTTCTTGAAATTTTAAAAAAGTTTTTTCTCGATGAAAACATTGCCAATCAAAAGTTCAAATAAAAGCACGGCTGTTGAGAATTTTTACTGCATAAGCGGCTACATCATGTTGTTTGTGACAAAGCAAATTTGGACTTAGAAGTTTTGACCATTTTCGTTTCTTAGTTTTTCTTACGGTTTTTTGGTTCTTTCTGGTTTTCTCAAAAACTACCGTGGAGAATTGAAAACTAAGTGTTCTATCCAAAATGAAATTTGAAGGCGTGCCTCTTCTTAATAGAGTTTTTTCAATTTTAGCAGAGAATCCGCTATGTACTCGAGAACTTTTCAAAATTTAAAATTTTGTTCCATTTTTTGGACTTCGTTTAATAGACAAAATTACTAGTTTAATAGAATAATTTTTTCAACGACGTGCCCCCTTGTTTGGAAAAATTCTCTCATGAAATTCTCTCGTGAAATTGCCATTTTTGGTCTTCGTTCTTTTTCCCCAAACCGATCTTGCCAATACTGAGATAAAATATTCAATCGAACAGACATGCCTAAATTATCCCTTGCAAAATATTTTCTCCGTTCTTTTGATATGGGATCAACCATGGACTTGGGAAATGTCCAACGTTTGAAGTTTTGACATATTTTGAAAACTGCGCTGTACCTTTCTCATCAGTACATATTTGAAAATAAAGCATTGTTTTTTGCAACAATACATACTGCAAATTTATCAAACAGTTACTTTCAGTTTTAGCCAGGCTGTTAGTTTACTTGGTTGGATAAATTTAAGCTTGAATAATTTATATAAGCTTGCAAATGTAGAGAAAATTTGTATTCGGGTAAGTTTTAATGTTCAGACTATTGAAAAATGGGATGAACTTTGTATTCGTGTGTGTTTCAGTTTTTTCTTTATTTCAATTTTTTAAGTTTTTTTAACAATTTTTTCCGTTTTTCTAGTCAATTTTACAAAAACTGTTCTCCAATGGGCCTATTATACTATGACTATCGAAATTGCCTATGTTCTACTTTGTCGTTCAAATCTTTTTTATCACACCAGCCGAATAAAGACACTAAATTAGAAAAACTTTTTTTAAGACTATGGTCGGAAATTTATGCGTTACCTGTACAGTAACCGACTATTTTTTTTTCTTTTTTTCTTGGCAGGTGCCAAAAAGAGTTATTGGACTGGTTTAAGTGATCTATCATATTAAAGCCCTGTCACTCGTGATTCGAATTCAAAATTTTCAAAGTTTCCAAAAAAATCCACTTTTTTTCAAAATTTTCCACATTGAAAATTAAAAGCTAAAAAGTGCACGAAATGTTTTTCAGTATTGTTGGTGAGAGCAGATAAGCCAAATGTTTTTTCACAAGCGGCTACATCCTAATTTTGCATTTAAAATGGAATTGCTCTAAAAATGTACTTAAGAAAATTGGTCCGTTTTCCGGAGAAACTAACTTTTCTCGAAAATTACGCATTCAAATTGGAGACTAACCAATCAGTAGAAATAACTAGACATAGAAATTTGCCTTGCCTGAATGGCTACATCCTAATCTTTGCAGAAAAAGCAATGTGCTTAATTCCCCCGGTTTTTCGATAGAGACTCAGCCATGGACTTAGAAAAATTTTGGCATTTTGACATACTTTGAGAGTTGCGCATCAGTTTTTGCATAAGTACATGTTTGAAAATTATGCACTACCTTCACATTAAACTCATTCGGAAAAATTATCCAGCACGTATCCCCAACTTTTGCTGGTCTCAAAGCTTACTACATAGTTTTTTTTGCTAATTGATGCAGACTTTTTTTTGTTCTAATTGAGATGCTCTGTATCGCAGCAAATACTAAAAGTTTCCAATTCTGAACTTTCGCCAAAATCTTTAAGTCAAAACCTACCTTAAGTGCACAGAAATGTTTTTAGTCTTTATACTAATTTGTTTTGGCTACTAAATTTTTTTTGGAGGGCTCAAAAAATTAAGGAGGTCGAAATATTTAATAATTTTTCCAAACTTAACATGAAAAAAATTGCGCGATAATTCCTAAATCGATCACTGTGTGGATTATCACCATTTCAGGTAACAAGTTTTTATTATTTGGTGCTTCATGCCAGGCAAAGCCTTAAAAAAGATAACAAAATTGATTCTCGCTCTATTGAATTTAGATGAAATTAAAGTGTTTCACAAAGATTTAAACTCGCCGCATTTAAGATCTTACCTTTAGTATTTTTTCATCTCATTCATTTTTAGGCGATTACGTTATACTTTTAAAGTGCTTTTTGCTATATGACACGATAGTTTGGGAGCACATTGGAAAATATTTTTACGGGGCAAATTGGCAGAAGAAGTGGTGGAGAAAAATGCGACGGTTTTTCAGCTTCTCCTGGAGCCTCGTTGACTCTCCTGGACCCCCTGTTTTGAGACGCAACCTATTCTCATTTTTTGTATTGCATTAATTGAATAAATTCTTCCGTTTTAGTTCGAAGCCGTGATGAATTCACAATTGTAAAACTTACAGAAGCTTTATCTAAACACTAACTTTTAAAAAAAATCTTATTAAATTGAGCCTTGTTGTTTTCTAAAATTGCGTCATATTTCCTGTGATGTCAGAGATAAATTCAATAGTTTGAGAGGTTCTTACCTCACCTAGCGAAATTTGCACAAAAGTGAGTTTTCTATTACTTATTATTTTCTTCTTACTTTCTTATTATGTTTCAGAGCGATGGGTAATATTGTGGACCATTTTGATACTCGGATTACTACAAGTGTCAGGTGAGAAGTTTTGGGAAGATTTTTAAATTGCGGCCGTTTTAATAGAGACAGAATAAGTCACATTTCCATTTTAGCTGCTCTTTGAAAATTTAAAATGTACATTGATTGCTGCAAACTAATATATTTTACTCATCTAATATATTTACTCACATATTTTAAAATCTTTGGAGTTTCAAAAAGAACTTTTTCGCCAAGCTTTTAATGATTTTTTAAAGATTTTTTAACATAATTTTCTTTAAAAAATTCTTTAAAATCTGACAAAAACTTGCTTTAAACTGTAGGTCTTCTTTTCATTGGAAAAAAGCATTCTAAACTGGAACAGAGAGTGTAAGAAAATATAAACCAAAATAGGAAATTAAAAATGGTTTTTATACCGTTATTATTCACTTCTGAACACTTTTAGTCGTGTTTTGATTGTTTTTTTTGGAGATTTTCCCAAACCATGACTAAAAGAGACCAAAAATTACTACGAATGGGATTTTACCAGTTTTTTTTTTGCTCTGACTGCGATCAAAAATTTGTGACTGCACAAATTTGCTCCGGTTAAGTCAGCATTTCCTTCATATGGAAATTATTTAATTATAAGAGAAAAAAGCGGGTCAAAACTTTTGCTTCAATTTCAATATCAAAAGTTATTAGCTTATGGTATAATTTGTTTAATGGAGGTTTTGGCTCTCTTTTTTATATTCACTTCCAAAACTTTTGAAAGCTATGCAACATTTTTTGTATTTTTAAGGTTTTTTATATGAAATTCGTTTTCATATTTTTTGGACCAAAAATGCCATGCTGTTGATATTTTGATTTGGTTGTTTGTATGCTAGACACAATTTTAATTCAAAAACTTTCGTTCCAGTTCTATGGTTCCTCTTTACAGCAAGAAGAGAGCAATAAATTTTGATTTTTTGGGCATAAGACAGTTTTTTTGAGAACTGACATAAAAGCAAGATATTTTGAAATTTGAAGTTAATTTGAAGCATTTTCAAATTATTGGTAAAATCTTATATCCGAAAAAAAAATCCGCCTCTAATAACAAAACGATGGTTTTTTATTTTGCCGATTACTGTACTTGTTTTCAAGCTATCCTTTTTTTCCATATTTGTTTTACTTCGGTTCATTCTCACATTAAAAGCTCTTTTTTGCGTATTATTTATATTCCGACCTTCGAAGAAGTTGAAGAAACTAGGAAAATTATAGATTCAGGGTGCCTGCATCAATGTTTGGGATGAAAATAGATTATGTTTGGAAAAATTTTAAAGAAAAATTGCCATTATAATCATTAATAAGTATCCAATTCAAATAAAAATTTCTAGTTCAATAGCAAGAAAAAGAATAATCAAATTGTATCAGCAAACAACTGAAGCAATGTCAAAGATTAAAATATTTACCATCGGCACGTTTATCAAATCCACCACCCAGGTTGATGGGTTTGGCAAATTTTTTTTCGCCAATTTTTTAACGATCTTCTTTATAAGATTTCTTAAAAATCTATAAATTTTGACAAAAAATTGCTTTAAGCTGGAGGTCATGTCTTTGTTGGAAAAAAGCAATTCAAATGGAATCATGCGTATAAAAAAAACAAAAACCAAAAAAGAAATTATAAATGGTTTTTATACCATTATTATTCACTTCTGAACACTTTATCATGGTTTGATTTCATTTTTTGATGTTTTCCCAAAATAAGTCTACGAAGTTCCAAAATTTTTTGCAACTGTGATTTTACGTGGTTTTTTTTTCTCTGGCCGCAATCAAAAAATTTTTCTCTGCTCAGTTTTGCAATTCGAGTAAGTCAACACAATTGCTTCTTATGCAACTTTGGTAACTTAAATAGAAAAATAGGGTGAAATCTTTTGCTTCGACTTCAGTACCATAGATTTCAACCCATGAGATAGTTTGTTTATTTTAGTTTGGCACAAACTATCTTGTAATGCTAGGATTTCTGTTTTGCTAGTTTGTTCATATTCGCTCCAAAATTTCTTAAAGCTCGGCAAAAATCAAAAGTTTTCTATGTGAAATTTGTTTTCACACTGGCGAGCCTTCTTTTTCTAATCAAACTCGCAACTAAAAATGTTCATTGAAAGTGTTCACTTACATAGAAATTTAACTATAGCATTAGAAATTCTACAGCATCTGTTCTCTGCTTCAAAAATGGCTAATTTTTGGTCATAATTACGCGTCCCTTGCTGAGTGGTTAGTGTGTGAGAACCATAGTTTCTCGATTGAAGTAAATAGTTGCATCGAATCCGCGATGAAGTCGAGTTTTTATACTACTTAGAGACTTAATTCTACTTATTCTTATTGCACTTTATATAGCTGTTTTTGTCGTGTTCTCGCTAGTGTTTGCTAAGCGGAGCTTTTCTCTGTGTTAAAAAATTAAGGCCTAAGAATTCAGATTTTGCTATCTTTCTAAGTGATTTTATGTATGCTGGACTCTTTTTGTTTCAAAATTGCTGTTTCTATTTTTCGGTTCTTTTTATAAAGCTTCAATTCAGACAGAAGTTTTAGAAGATTCATTCACATAGATGAAATTTTGATCTGTGCGCGTAAACCAGTCTTTTTGACAATTGTCGTAAAAATTAGCTGTTTCGAAACCCGAACTTAAATTGAAGCGTTGTCAAATTATTGGGTAAATTTTAGAACTAAGTCAAGTAGCAAAACCCGAGACTAATAGCAAAGCGATGATTTTTTATTATGCCTATTCTTATTCACCTGTTTTCATTCAACCTCTCTTTACTCCATATTTGTTCTACTGTCGTACTTTTTTTTGCAATTTTTTTATTTTTCAACTTTCGAAGAAATCACGAAAGCTATATGTTCGGGGTGCTTTGGACAAAAAAAAACTTTATATCGAAAAAACCTTGCTGAAAATTTTGCATTTGTAAGCGATAATGTAAAAAAAGTTTCTCAAAGATTCTTCCAGATTTGACAAAAATTGCTAGAAATGGGAGAGGTCTACTGTTTATAAATTTTTCTTTCACACTAGAGAGCTAATAGCCTTCTTTTTGCCTACCTAACTCGCAAATTTGAGAGCTCATTTGAGGGTGATTTTGCTATAATAACAATCTCTAGCCCTGGAAATTTCATAACATCAGTTCTCTGCTTATTAGTGGCTTGTGTTCTGCAATTATAAAGCGTCTGTGGATGAAAAGTAAGGATGTGATCATTTTTTTGAGAACGCAATTTTGCGTCCAACACATAGCAAACGTTTTTCTAATTCGACGCTTAATTCTTTTTTCTTATTTCACTTCAAAAAGTTGATTTTTTGTCGTTTTCTTGCGAAACGTGTTTGCGAAACTTTGACTCTGTTTCCAAATTGCTTAAGCTTCATTTGAGGGGTTGGGGCTGAAAAAAACTCACCGTATCACACTGTATGAGACAAAATCGATAGAGCAAAACATTTTGGGGTTAAAAGAAAGTACAACCAACGCAACTACGTTTTTTTCACACTGATATTTTTATCGCCCGTTGCCTTTGTGAAGTTCGTGTCTTATAGTTACTGCCAATTTGTTTGCAGTTTTGATGATTCAGTCGACCAGAGTCATCTAGTTTTGGCTAATTGTTTCGACCATTGAAAATGGTGAGAAACTTTGTATTCGGGTGGGTTTTAGTTTTTTTTCTAAGTTTTTTTTCAACGCAAAATCAGGTACCACAAATGTTTATTGGAATGGGTCGAAGGATATATCATATTAAAGACCTTTCAGTCATGATTCAAACTACTTTAGGAATTCTGTTAAATTTTTCTCAGTTTTGAGAAAAACTGGTTTGAGGTTATTGATTTTTGGTTTAGTTTCGAAATAATAAGATGGGCATGCAGGCTTACAATAGTTTGCTTAAGAATACTTTAAACCGTGAAAACTAGTTTTGCTCGAGTAAAAATAGTTTTTGGAAATTTTAGCGTTAATTTGAGAATCAAAAATTTCAAAAGTTCAAAAAAAGTCCTGTTAAAATGTTTCTTTACGATTTTTTTTTTCGTTTTTTTTTTAAAATAATTTTTCTTAAAATCACACGACGCAAAAGCGACACTAATTTGAAATTTTTTTCTGGCACTTCAAAAATATTCAAAACTTCAATTGGAGCTGAAAAATCAGTTTGCCAAGAATGAAAGTCAAATTTAATAATAATTATCATAATACAGTGCTGATTTGAATTATTCTGACAAAATGAACAAACCTCCAATTTTAAAACATATTTTTCTCAAATTGGCTTCAGATGAGATTTCTTCTGAATTAATATGGTGCAGTTTTTTCTCCGAATTTCTCAACCAAAAATTTACCCAAAATTTTGGTCAATTTGGCTTTTTTCAGTTGATCAAAAATACGCTGAAACTACTTTGTTAATTAATGAGGAATACATATCACAAGAAGCCTCTTGCACTGCCCAAAAAAGTTATAGAAGGGTTAAATCTCCAAAAATTTAAGAAAGTTTTAAAATTTGTTTTATGCAAAGAGTTTTAGTTTTATATCGTAAGGATATATCGTAGAAGATTTAACCTTTCTAGAATTTTGTTGGGCTGTGTAAGAAACTTCTTGTGAAATAGATTCCTCATCAATTAACAAGTATTTTCCGCGTAAATCTTGATTATTTCAAAAAAGCCAAAATTACCCATTTTTGGTGTAAGATTTTGGTTGAAATTTTTGGAGAAAAAATTGCAGCGTATCAATGCTCAAGAAATTCTAAGCAACTTTTGTCCTCCTCACTTTTTGCCTAATCTTAACCCAAATTGAGAAAAATGCGTTTGAAAATTCAAGTTTTGTTCGCTTTGACCGGATAATTTAAGTCAGCACGGTAATAAATTGTTTTCAGGCAAAAACTTTTGAGAAATGAAATTGGAGTAAGTTTATAACTGCCTGGGAGAACACCATTGGTTCTACTTGTTCGTCTTCAAGTGTCTCGGAGCGATAAAAATTGGTTTTTTAATGTCTCATTTGGAAATTTTAGCTGCCAAACCTGCCCCTGATGAGTTGATGGCCTTAAATTGGACGGTCGTTGAGGATGGTTTCTTATATATTACAAACGTCGCTGATTTTCCTGCAAATCAGAGCAGCTATGAAATATTCATCCGAGAGGAGCCACCATATACACAATCGCCCCTTCTAATTGTCGATGGCGTGCAGGCGAACCGCATAAACATCACCATTGGCAACTCTGTTTCTATCAACTTTGCCCGACCAACTTCTCAGTACTTGATTAACTCAATTGGATATTATACAAATGGCAGTGCGGTGGACGGCTCTGTAGATATATCAGTTTGGACAAGTCTGTTATTTTTTTAACGTTTGATTAAGAGTAATGAACGTAGTGAGTACTCCTATATACGTCTTGCTGATTTTTTTTCTTTTTTCAGGAAGTTTGTTCACGCTCAATTATGATTTTTCGCGGTTTGACTTGTGATTTTTATTTTAACTTATTTTAAGGAAGGCAAACTCCACTATGGAACAGCAAAATTGTTAACTCCACGAAAAACGTGATCGAGTTCTAATTTCGAAAATGGAAACTAATCATCAGGTTTCCCAGCAAGATAGTCTTACCTATTGATCCAATTTTCTCCAAGTTTTGAAAAAACAAATTACGTTTTTTTCTTCTGTTTCCTTGCGTTCATTGCTCTTTTCCAACTGCCAGTTGGCTTTGTTTGGATTTTGAGTGTTTGTTTTTAATTAATGTTTTGCTTAAATTGGTTGACCAATCGTTTTGATTATTGGCTGAATTTTACCTACTAACAACAATCATTTTACTAACACGTTTTTTTTCAATTGATAGTAATATCTTTTTGTACTGCATATCAGGGGCCAATTTTAAAAAAGGAGGCGGACGCCTTTCCCCTCAGAGATTTTATCCACTGCTGACCCAAAAGGTCGCCCTTTGTACAGACCCTGAACTTTTTCTGAAGGCCTCTTCGGTGCCAATATATACTAAATTTGAGAAGGGAGCGCTCGCCAAAAAAACGCGTTTTTTGGTAAAATTTTTCCAAAAAGTGCCTAAAACGCCTTATTTGGCATGTTTTTTCAAAATTTCAACTTGAGTACAAAAAATTCGATCATAACAATTTCTTTTTTATGCTTTAGTGCTTAGACTTTAAAAATAACGACAAAATATATGAAAATTTTTTGAAAATCCAAAATTCCACCCCTCTCGAGAAAATCCGAGATTCGCCACTGCTGCATATGTTATAAAATTTGAACTTTGCATTTTCTAGAAGATTCAAAATATGTTTGAAAACAGTTATGTAGAACCAGAATTTCAGTTGAATTTTTGTATTTGCTAGTGGAGCATTTGTGAAAGCGTCAGAATTATGCAATATCTAAAGTCTCAAATTTTTAAATAGTTTGTTTTCTATGAGTAGCAAATTCAAAATGCCAGTTAAAATTCCAGTCCTACATAACTATTTTGAAAAATCAGAAAACATTTATATGAAAGATGAAAAGCTTTGAGATTAATCCAGACCCGGCCTCTGCGGAAAAAAAACCACAAACGGAAAAACCCGCCTCTGCTTATAATCAATCTTAAAGCTGGTATTTTTTCAGTGCCACCCAGAATCGGTCTTTTGGACCTCATCTTCAGAGACAGCGTTCGTGCCTGTGTTTATTTGTGGCAACCTACCCCAATCAGCGAAGAGTTTAAGTTTGTGTTTACCTCGTACTTTCCAGATATGACTGAAATTGATAATGTGGAGCAGTCATTCAATGGAACGGTATAGTAATTTTGGCTTTTAAACAATCACATTATAGGCTTCACAAGTCTACTGCTAGATTAGTGCATACACAAGTTATTTTACTTTTAATTCGTGTATTTTGAGCAAGACTTTTTGATTTTAAAGAGCAGTATTTATATTTCTTTCACCGTTTGTTCCGACTTTCGAAATCACTTACGGATATTGCTTGGGAAGTTTTTGTCCAATCAATTCAATGTCGGCGGTCCAAGTAGCAAATTGCAAGGAAAAAGTAACAAATCCCGATAACGTTATTCCTCGACTCCCTGAAATAAATACAATTGTATCCTAATACCAAATCGAATATCGACCACATCTTTGAAAGCATATTCATTTTATAAAATCATTTAGTCTGATTCAGTAGAGGGCAGAACGGAGAGGGGACTGCCCAGTTCTTCTCTTCTTAAGCTGTCAGTTTTTTCCAAAAAGTCCATTTTCGTAGTAATTTACGACATTCAATGTTCGAAAGCTTCCAAAAAATGCCATATGAAATCACTTTGAAACTTAAAAAAACTTTGCAAAATGTTCGAGCTAAGAGACACACTAGATGACAACCTGACTGTTATGATGAAAATCTTAATCAAAGTGTTCAATTAGTTAAAGTCACGCAAGTATGCAATAACAACCACACTTTTCTAAAGAAGTATAATTTAAGACAAAATTAAAACAGGACAACGCCGACAGGTCAATCCATTTTTTTCAACCAAAACAAAGAAAACAGAACAACTGCAGCACTGATCGAAAATTGTTCAGCCGACCAAAAACCATCAACCCAGTGAATCACGAAAAATGGCTCAGAAAGCAGGAATCATAAACTTAGTTCGATTTTAAACTACCATTTTTGTTAAATTCATTACCGGATTTAGGGGGGGGGGGGGGGAGGGAATGCCTTTCCTCGGGAATACGACCCCCTGCCGACCCAAAGGGTCCCCCCTTGGTAGTACTCTGGGATATCTTTTTTTGGCTGACTGACCATAACATTTTAAAGTTTTCCTAAAGGCGCCTTGGGCGCCAATATATACTAATTTTGAGGGGGGGAAAACGCGCCTAAAAACGCAATTTTTTGGTCTAAATTTTCCAAAAAGTGCATAAAAACGCTTTTTTTGGCCTGTTTTTTCAAAAAATTTGCCGGCGGCGCAGAAAATTTGAAAGTTTTGTCAAAATGGGGTCTTAATAATAATTTGGGATAGCTCAGACAATCAATTTGGTCGACCTAAAAAAAAGGACGACAAAATGTTCAATTTTTTTTTGAAAAATCCGCCCTCCTCGAGAAAATCCTGGATCCGCCCCTGGGTAAAATGACAAACACTGGCAGATGATTTTCTTATAGTTCCGACTTTTGATGAAAACGGAATATTTGTGCTCGGTGTGGTTGTTTTATTCAGTCAATTTTCGCTGATCGAAATAATTGTTTTCAACAAACTTTTTTTATACCCCATTGAATATATCGACTTTCTGAGTTCAAATCTAAGAAGATATTTTACCACCAATTATTTTTTATGGGGGTTTGAAAATTGCCAAATTAGTCATGTTCTGGACTAAATTATGCTAGCTTTGAAGAATTTATTCATATTGCTGAGAGTGTAACGCAAATTATTTATACGTGCGATTTATCCCGCTCAACAAATTCGTTCCAAAATTAACTGTGGCTAGCTAATCAGATCGGTCGTATTAACTTCGTACGGGGAAGGTTCTCATGCTTGAAGGTCCAAATGCTTAAAAAATTTCAACCAATCAAAATTGCTAAGCGTTTCTATTGGCTAAATGCCTTTCTCACAAACTCGAATTCAAAATTAACAAAAAATGTATTAAATCAGTAGAAAATAATCAACGTTTTGTACAAATTGCGAGTTACAACTACATTACTATTCAGATAATCTTCAAGATAAATGAGTTCAAAATCATAAGAGTTTTTCAGTCTTGAAAACTCATCTGCTTCTTATCTAATCGGTCAATATTAACACTAATGGCCTGGATTTATTCCCTTACTTTGAGATTTTTGCGATTTATTTTGAGATTTTGAAAACTCAATGCTGATTGGCTGAAAGCAAGATAAAATCAATTTCAAGCATTCTGTCCTTCAAGCATGAGGGACGCCACCATTTCGTACGACTCAACATTTCACACTTTGATATTGTCCAAAATTTTTAGGTTTTCAATATTTCGTTTTCCCAAAAACTATTCGATATGAATTAAGGGACAGTCGGAACATGCAGGGCTTTGCCCTGATATAAGAGCAGTCTTGTTTTGATTAATAACCCAGCGATACGAAATAATTAATGTTTTTCACCACTGATTGGCACTGGAAATGGGTTATTCAACTGCCAACTTTCTTAAACACCGATTCGGTTCTTCCCAATTTACAATCATCATGCATCCTGTGGCAAAAAGGACACAGTGGTATATTTTTCATGATATTATCGTGTGTTACGAGCGGTTGCTAAGTTTTCAGTTCCATTTAAAATTATATCAGCCACAGCAGCTCCTTGCAAAATTACTGTATAGTAAGTTTTGCATAGCCTTAAAACCATGTTGGTTTCGAAAGTTTTTGAAAATTATGTTCCCCAAAATATTGCAAAAATTGTCCACCTTAAACTATTCAAGAGCGCCATATTAGTATTCACCATCAGAAAAAAAATTTACGTTAAAAATTAAATATTTTTGAAATCTTGTAATTTGGATAATTGAAAAAGCTGGGTGTTGGCAAAATGTGACCCTGTTTGTGTTGAAGTTTTTTGAAAAAGACCTTATGTTTGATTAAAATGTTTTCCACCAAGAAGAAGAACATTGTTAAAAACCAGATAACATTCTTAACTGTTGAATTAATTAATTAGTAATAAAGGGTTGGATTGCCAAAAATGACAGTAATATGGATTGCAAGCCAGTAATATGGATTGCCAAAAATGACCAAAAACTTAGTGTCATCTAAAAAAATCGAGGCTGTGGATTGATTTTATCCGCCTCAACAAGCATAATATTCTAAGAAACGATTCCAAGGGTTCTGAATCTCTTATGATACTTACAATGGATTTGCTACTGGACACTGGATAGGCAAGATGTCTTCTTTTTGCAATCTGAGTTGTTGAAGGATGAAGGCTTTGATAGTTGACATTGAAATTTCACTGGATGCTAGTTAAAATAGACGTTTTTACTAGCGGTGAGTGTAGCGGGCGGAGTTTATTGAAAAGGATATAATTTGTGTCTTTTTTGTTCAAGAATGGCTCAATTGTGACCTGCTTGGGTTCATCGCCTGAGACGAGCGGTTTGTACATTGGTGCAGCTATTTCTGCAAATGTGCCATCCTACGGTGATTGGATACTAGGACCGGAATTAAGGGAAGGAAATTTCTTGGGACCAGGTGAGCTGCAAATCAGCTTTGTTCTTCTTGTTTGGAATATTTTTAAATCCACAATTTCCTACGACGAATCATTGTTACTGATAAGGAAAGGATACAAAAATCATTCTGGAATTCAATAACTTGATTAGCAAAGTTCAAGTTTTTGAGTTATGACCTTTTGGTTATACTCATAGAGTAATTTCAGATACCCGGGATGACCGAAACTTCTTATCATACAATTCCCATATATGAGAAGCTTCTTGTCATACAATTCCATTCGTACAGAAAATTGTATGAAATCTCTATGATAAACCTTTTTCCATAAATGAAAATTGTATGATAGGTGTTTTTCCATAAACCAAAAAGTTTGATTTTTTCTTTCTAAATTTATTTCTGAAAAATAGTCAGTTGTGCTTGCAGCCGACCACAAGTGACAAAGACTTTGGTTACTCAAAGCACCAAAGGTTGGACGGGCTTTGCATTTGCAATGCATAGAAAACGACCTGAGTTTGGCTGTCTTTCACAATTAATATAGCAAAAGCAACAAACTTTTGGTTTTTGGCAAAATTTTTTAATGATGATTATTTTAAATATTCGAATTTTCAAATTATCAGACATTGATCAAGGCATATATAAACACCCCATACAAAGAAAGTAGCAATTTTTAGCGTTTTTGATGAAAAAAAATTAAGTCAAAAGAAAATAAAAGCGAATAATATCGTAACCAGGACTACGTTATGCACACAAAAAATTAAATTTTGCATGCAAAAATTTTTTTTCGAAAACTGTTTGTTTGCGTACGAAATTCGATTTGCGGTTGAAAAAAAAACAAAAAGTTTTTGGGCCAAATTTTCAAAATTACTTAAAAAATTTTTGTGTCACCATCAAAAAATGCCAGTCACACAATTTCCATATATGGGAATTGTATGATAAGCATTTTTTCAAAAAACTAAAGCCTCGGTTTTTTTTACCAGATTGTTTTATTAGAATCAAACAGCCACAGAAATAAGTGTATATCTTTTTTCAACCATTTTTAGAAATTGTATGAAAACTGTATGACAAGCATTTTTCCACACACTTGATGTATGGAATTGTATAATAAGCCTTTTTGGTGTATGGAGGTCAAACCGGGTAAGGTACACCGTCTGTTCGTCACGCTATCTTATTTTCGGCCTGAAAAATTCGTTCAACTTCTTAGTCTAATACCAATCCTAATATTACTCTTATATCTCCTAGTCTCAATAGATCTAGTGTATACTCGTTTTTGCGTTTTAGTGCTTGGACTTTTATCCAGGAGGAGAACAACTGTAGTGTAGGATTTATTCAAATTGTTCTGGTGCTGAAACTACAAGTAGTTTCAGCATTTACAAATAAAAGTCAATGCATAAAGATAGCGAACTATATTTATGAACATTTATCAATACTAGTTTAGAACTGGTTCCACCCCTCCGGGGTTTGGAGAGTTTTTAGTTCTTCAATTATTTAATGTTGTGGAGGACGGAAGATGTAGTTTTCTGTGGAAGTTTTGAGCAGTGACTTCTTGAAGGAGGAGAGATGTAGTTGCTCGTGTTAGAAGGAAGCAGATTGTTTAGTTTGTGTTTCAAAGTGGGTCTCGCTGATTGTGGGTAGTCTTGGGTGACTGTGTCAATTCTTCTGATCGATGCAATAATGTATTGATTTCGTTAAGTTTTAGAGCGAGACTACGTGCAGGGTGAAGTTTGGCATTTTCTGTGTGAAGTGCCAAGTGACTGCGATTGGTATGTGAAATCAACATCGAGATGTCCATTGGTCTGTTTCAATGGGTTTCCTTTGCTTCGATGTTGGGTCCATACTTAAAATTCTTGAGGGTCATGACTGAGGCAACAAACCATTTAGATTTGCCATTCCAGTGTTGGAATGTAGTCTAGGTGTCATCTTCTTTGCTGCTCCTTCCTGGGGATCTAAAAAATCATTAGAAACAGCATTATATATTTACATCTTGTAAGTTAAGTTTCTTGTTATGATTTGTTAATAGTAATTATTTTTTATTTTGCTTGGTTTTTTAGAAAGTCGCTCACCCTAGAGCAACTCTCGTCAAAAATAGAACGTGGGTCACTAAGCGTGGTTATGGCGCGGTGTGTTAGGCCGGCTATAGAGCATGCTCAGGACGTCCCTCTGGTTAGTGAGACCAGGAATGCACTATAATTTTATGGTCTCTTTGTGCAGAGTCTCTCTCTGTGTTCAACCTTTTGTGACTTTTTTATTATGTGTTTTTTCTCTTTTTTGTTTTCGTTGAGTCCAATTCTTAAAATCAGAATCATTTGTTTGGGGTTGTCCTTTGACTATTTTTCTGTTTTATTGTGTTTTAATAAAACTTGCAAGTGGCTTTCAAAAGAATAATTTATCCAGTTTTAATCGCTGTTTAATCTGGTTTGGGTACCGTGGGACTGTTCTTTCTGAGTTATTCTGTTAGTTAGTGGTTTTGTGGTGTTAGTAAGCGGCGTTGGTTAGACTATTTTCCTTCCCATCCTAAAGGAAATTTATAACCGTGTTAAAACATGTTAGGGTTGACATCACTGAAAGTTTTAAACTTGAAATTTTTTTTTAAACATTTTTTTTGTGGGCGAGTTGCTTGATTTGGAGAGAGCGTGTGTTTTATGTGTGATTTATGAATTCAAGTTTATAAAAGAAGCGTCTTGTAAAAAGGTTAGTACTGTCAATTTCTTAGCTTTTTTTGTATGAAATTACTACATTTTTTAAAAATTTATTGCAGTGGAACATTAATTTTATGAAAATAATGTTTTTGAAAATGAAAAATTTACTGCTTCAAATATATACTGCAATTTGTTAAATTGAATTTGAAAAAAAAACTTTCTGTTTAGATGTATGAATGGTGAGATCTAAAAAGGAAAGGTGAAACATTTTTTAAAGAGTGTTTAGTATGTTTTGAATTCATTAGTGAAATTTAAAAAAAACCTACAAATCATTGTCGTCGGCAAAAAATCCATTTGGGAATTTAGTGTTAATTTGTGTGATGATGTGAGGAGTTTAGCAAGCAGGCGGATGACGCTTTTAGTCTGAATGAGAGGGCCATAGCAGCTCGAGTGCTCGGATGACGTTGTGTTCTGCGTTATTGAGTGGGAATTCAAATGATGTGTTGTCAATGAGATTGCTTGATTTTATGTTTGTATTTAGTTTTGTGAATAAAATCTAGAGTGTGGACTTCGGTGGGCTGTATATATTTATGGGGGATGATTAGTGGGCGAAACTGTTCGACGTCAAATTATTTGGTTAGCGGGCAGAATATATACATTTGTCTTATGGGGTCGTAGTTTCTTAGGATGCTGTCGGTGTAAGTGTTTTTAATACAATTGGTGAAATTTAGGAAAAACGGCGATGTGTATTTGAAATTAATAAAAATGAATCTATCTTTTGGATTTCGTGATGTATGTTAGTTATGTAGTAGTTTTGAATAAAATTATATTTAGTGTGTGTGTGGGTTAGTTCCGTGCCTAACATTATCTCGCGTGAACAGTGCAAGCCACGTTTTTTGGTGTTAAAAATGAGCAAAAAGTGATTAAGTTTATTGAAATACCAATTATAAGCTTTAGTGTCTTTTAGTGCTGCGAAAATTAAAGTATCATATTTTTTATTCATGCTGTTAATTACAAAGACATATTAGGGTTTTATAAAAAAAATTCTCTGTTAATTGAGTGTTAGTGTCTTTGTCTCTTCTATAATCGTATCTTCCATATATCGTGCAATTTTAAGAACATAATGGTTAATGGAAAATCTTTTATTTTTTTGTGCAATAAACCTATTGAATGTTTGAGTTAATCCGATGGTTGTGAATTGTTTTTCATGCAGTGCGATAGTTAATTGGTGTAATCGGGATTGACAAATTCCATTGTCTTCTGGATTATTATACAAAAGGAGTGACATGTGTTTTTTGAAGCGATAGTGAGATGTCCTTGATAGTAATGGGAACAGGCTATATTCATCTACGTAGTTCATTTGGTTTTCGTTGGCGCGACTATATGTGTTTTGTGGGAAACATGGTTAATTATATCTGAGAAATTCTTTCGTGTTAGTGTGCTGGGGGTGAAAGGAAAACAATCGGGGTGTTCGGGGCGATGAAATGTTCGAGCATTTGGGTGTTTTCTTTTGAATACTCGGCGGGCTCGGGTTTCTTCTACTGTGGAGGCTGGGTTGGAGGACTCGCAAGAGGATACGGAGTGTGCTAAATTAAGAATTGTGTGTGTGTTATTGTTTTGAAGCTGTTGTTGTAAGGTTATGAATTTATCAAGCTCATGTTCTAGTTCTTCAGTGACGGGTCTGGAAGGGTCGGGTTGATCACTGACCTTAGGGGAGAAGATTGTGGTTGCATCTGTGTAGGAGGAGGGGGCTGGGGAGTTTGAGTCTGAATGGGTTGCGAAAAAGGTAGACATGCGAAAAAGTGGAAGAGCTGGGCTCGGAGTTCTGGAATTCATCCGAGGTGTCAATGTCTGAAATAATAAACTGTGAAATAGTGTTAAAACAGTGTTTGTGGAGTCATCAGAATTCATGCGTGGTAATTATTGGTGAATGATAACAAGGGGGAAGAGGTGAGGTCAGAAGAGGAAATAACGGAGAATTGGCGTAAAAAGTTCGATGGGTAAGAAAGGGAGAGGTTCAGGGAACCAACTTGGCGTCTCATCGTAGGCTAAACCAGTGGGCTAAATCAGTGGCATGTGGCTGTTTGATGATCTGTTCATAAGTGTCGTCTATGTTTGGTTGATGGACTACTATGTGAGAAACTGGGCTTTGTGGGTAGTTATGACTTGGAGAGGTGTGCTCTATTGTCGGTGTATGTCTATAGTTTTGTGGTAATAAAGATAATGAATGGTTATTTTGGAAGTTTTACAATTGTGGTGCATTGGGTGTTATAATCTTCTTGTCCTGTGAAGTATCGTAAGTAGTAGATAATGAGGCTAAAGTGTGTGCGTGGAGGGGGGGGGGGGGGTTGAGCCGGTGGCCCAATATATTAAGACACGCTATAGATT